GCATTACGTCAAAAAAATAAAAAAAATAAAAAAAATAAAAAATCGGTCACTTTATTCTGCAGTGTGAACGCACCCTAAGTTTATTCTACTTGGCGTCGCTCTTGTTCTACGTTTTATAGAGGTCTTTAGCCAGCTAGCAACATGGAGAACGTCTCGACGCGTGACGTCATTACCGCTTCTACTTGTCACAACAGCGCGGCGGAAGACGAGCAGCCTGGTAGCAGCCTTTCTCTGCGTTTGATCGTGGCATTTGTTAATGGTAGAAAGTACCGGAATGGCGACTGCAGGGAAGGGCAACTGGTACCGGACTGTTCCATCACCCGCCGCACTATTGTTACAAGCGTAGTGTGCATGAAGTCAGTGTAGCTTAGCCTAGCACCGAATGTCAGCCATGACGAGGAACGGCAGGCGGGACTTCCTTCAGAGGTCCGCTCACCCTGTGGGCTGCTTGTACCTTCACCATATGTACCAGGAGTAGGAGAGTAATTCCTGCTGCTGGGTGCAGGAGAGCAAACTGCTGACGTCCAAACGAAATTCAGCAAGTTTAAAACCGCAGATAATCATATCCGCAGCCTGATGGTGCGGTGTCTGTCTGGCAAGAGCGTTTGTTCGCCGCGTGAGAACGCCGGTAAGAATAAGCGGTGTGACTTGGCGAGCTTAGTTCAATGTGCCGACTATAAACTGGGTTTGAGAGAAGCTGAAAGTAGATGAGCGACCATGTAGTGACAGAAACAGCAGATGAAGGGATCTGGCGGCACTTAGGATAATATAATCAATAACATTAACTGTGAACACCTTGACTTACTATTTATTACTACATTGAGGCGGACGGTCTCATTGGATGGGCGGGGCGCCCCCTACTGGACAATTGTAGGAGAAACGTTCTGTGAAATGTCGTTCAGACGCACACTTTATGTGTACTTGTACATTTTTTAGGTCTTAAGTATTTGTCCAAACATTTTGCCAGTGGTAGGGATTTACCTTCCACACCTGAAATAGCTTTGAAGTGTGGACTTTGTGGTTCTGAGAGCCTGGATCCAGTTCTCCTTTGGCCCCACCTGTCCTCCTGTCTTTCAGCTGTCTGCCCTCCCAACCAGTTCCGCTGTGGGGACAACCATTGCATCACTAAGAAACAGCAGTGTGACAATTACTCAGACTGTCTGGATGGCTCTGATGAGCTGGCTTGTGGTAAATATTTCTACATTGCAGCAGCAGTTTCTCTCATCACATTATTCATATCATATTCATTCCTGTAATGTACATATCCCTCTTTTTTTCCTGTGCAGATTATATTTCTCCCTCCTCAAGCTTCATTCCCAGTAATGAAACCACCAACCCCATTGGCCCAGTCATTGCCATCATTCTGCTCATGTTTGTGATGGGAGGAGCGTGCTTTGTCTGCCAGCGTGTGGTGTGTCGGCGCTACAAGGGTCCTAACGGGAGCTTTCCTCATGAATACATCAGTGGGACGCCTCATGTGCCTCTCAACTTCATCACCCCCAGCAGCTCCCAACATGGCACCTACCAAGGTGGGATCAGTTTGTCAGCTGCAGTGCTGTGAATTGTTCTCCATCAGCAGTTATGTTGGGTCTTAATAAATGATATGCGTGTGCAGGGATCTCCTGTGGAAAGTCCACCCTGAGCTCAGTCAGCCTGATGGGCAGCAGCAGCAGCGGAGCCCCTCTCTACGACAGGAATCATGTGACTGGAGCTTCATCCAGCAGCTCCTCGTCTACTAAAGGAGCCTTCTACCCAAAGGTACACACAGCAGCACTTTAAGCCTGCACTCCACACCTCACTTACTTAACTTGTCTGTTTTATGATTGCAGATCCTGAACCCTCCTCCATCTCCGGCCACGGATCGGTCTCTTTACAACACAGAGATCTTCTATTCCTCCAACAGTCCTTCTACAACCAGATCATACAGGTCACCTACTCAGAATTCAGTGTTCTCACCGTTTCATATCTTCTTCTTCTGGTAGTTATGGACCTTACCACAGGGGCCGCGTTTCATTGGCTAATGCCCATTTCACGT